CCAGAACCCACCTCCCTATGCCCACTCTATCTACCAGAACCACCTTCTTATGCCCACTATCTACCAGAACCCACCTTCTTATGCCCACCCTATCTACTAGAACCCACCTTCTTATGCCCACTCTATCTACCAGAACCCACCTTCTTATGCCCACCCTATCTACCAGAACCCACCTCCCATGCCCACCCTATCTACTAGAACCCACCTTCTTATGCCCACTCTATCTACCAGAACCCACCTTCTATGCCCACTCTATCTACCAGAACCCACCTCCCTATGCCCACTCTATCTACCAGAACCCACCTTCTTATGCCCACTCTATCTACCAGAACCCACCTTCTTATGCCCACCCCATCTACTAGAACCCACTCCTATGCCCACCCTATCTACCAGAACCTACCCATGTTTGTTCTAACTCCCTACGCACTCACCCCTTCTCCCCTACGCACTCACCTACTCCTCCTACGTACTCACCTCCTCCTCCCCTAGGCACTCAACCTCTACTCCCTACCACTCACCCCTTCCTCCCTACGCACTCACCTCCTCCTCCTCCCTACGTACTCACCTCTTCCTCCCTACGCACTCCACCCCTTCTCCCCTACGCACTACCTACTCCTCCCTACGTACTCACCTCCTCCTCCCTAGGCACTCAACCTCTACTCCCTACGCACTCACCCCTTCCTCCCTACGCACTCCACCTACTCCCTCCCTACGCACCTCACCTACTCCTCCCTACGTACTCACCTCTTCCTCCCCAATACGCACTCACCCCCTTCTCCCCTACGCACTCACCCTCCTCCCACGCACTCACCTCTTCCCCCCCGCACTGAACCTCTACTCCCTACGCACTCACCCCTTCCCCTACGCACTCACCTCTTCCTCCTTACGCACTGAACCTCTACTCCCTACGCACTCACCCTCTCCTCCCTACGCACTCACCTCCTCCTCCCCCACGCACCACCCCTCACCCCCTATGCCTCACCTCTCTCCCTCCCTACGCACTCACCTCTTCCTCCTCCCCTACGCCTCACCCCCTCCTCCCTACTCACTTACCCCCTCACCCCCCTCCTACGCTCCACCCCCCCCACACCACAACTACCCCCACACGCCCACAAATCTCCCCTCCCCGGCTCACCCCCTCCTCCACACCCACCACAAGCCCTGGGAACCTTAGTAATACGAGCTGTCACTAGGTCTGATATCATGGGAAAATCTCTGTGGCCTCTACACACACACACACACACACACACACACACACACACACACACACACACACACACACACACACACTACTACTACTACTACTACTACTTTGCTGTCACTCGGAATCAAGTATGACGATCATCCAGCGATGATTCAATGGTGTGAGTTATTAAGAATGTCACCGTCGTTGGTGAGTTCTGAGGAGACTAAAGAAGCCGATTCGGGACCCGCAGGTTCGTCCACATTCGTTGCACATGTGGCGCTTGTCTGCCTCGTTATACAGTCGGGCTAACTCGAAAGTATTGACACCTTCTCGTGTGGTGCTCCTCCAAGCGTTACGGTGTGGAGTAATCGTCTCCCAGATGAGGGGGTCGATTTGGCACTTTTTCAGGTTTGTCTTAAGACTATCCTTATACCTTTTCAGTTGCCCGCAGGCATTACGTTTACTATTCATTAGGTGACTGTAAAGTAACATGGCCAGTTCAGCGTAGCAGTTCAGGGATAATGGTAGCCTCGATGCTCCTACAGTTGGCGTCAGCATGAATACTGGCATTTGTTCTCTTGTCTTCCCAGCGAACTCGGAGGATGGAACGTAGATTAGGTTGGTGAAAGTTTTCAAGTGCCTTGAGGTGCCTCCTGTATGTGACCCATGTCTCGCTGCCATATAGTAGGGTGGGGAGGACCACTGCTCGAAACACGTGCAGCTTTGTAGAGAATTTCAGCTCCCTACAGCTGAAGACACGGGCAAGGAGTCTGCCAAAGGCTTGAGATGCGCATCTGATCCGGTGCCGAATCTCTTCATCGATGTCCGCTGTGGTGGACAGGTGGGAGATGAGATACCGAAAGTGGGTATCATTAGAGCGGGTACTCCGGGTAGTACCGTTAAGCTGGATGGATGGTGGAGGTGTGTCTGAACCAGGGGCAGGTTGAAAGAGAATATGAGTCTTACGTACATTCACCTCAAGGTCGAAGTACACATACGCATCTGCGTAGGTGTTTAGTATCTCCTGTAGATCGTGTTCAGTGTGAGCAACAGGGGTGAGGTCGTCTGCATACTGAAGTTCGGTAAGGGAAGCTGCCGACACCTTTGTTCTTGCCTGGAGTCGTCTTATGTTGAAAAGACCCTTCACCCGGTACTTGATGTTCGATGTTCATCCTGCCGGCTAAATTGGCACTGGCCCGAGCAAGGAAGGCAGCCAAAAAAATGGAAAAGAGAGTTGGTGCCAGTACACACCCTTTTTAACCCCTGTTGGATGGGAAAAAACTCAGACTGGGTGCCGTTGTGCAGGACACTGCCGTTCATGCCATTGTGGAGTTGCCTCACAATGGCGATGAATTTTGGTGGGCAGCCAAAACGGCTGAGGGTCCACCAGAGGTTCGACGCTGCTTGCTGCACTTTTCCTGTATCTGGCGGGCAGTAAAGATCATGTCAGTGGTGCCACGTGATGGTCTATAACCAAATTGAGATTCTGGGAGGAAGTTTTCCGCCTCAGGAAGGAATCTGTTAAGGAGGACTCCGGCGATAATCTTGCCAGCTACGCAGAGGAGCGAGATCCCGCGGTAGTTGCCACAGTCTGGCCGGTCTCCCTTGTTCTTATAAATATTGATGATGGAGGCGTCTTTAAGAGCTTTGGGGATTTCCTCCTTTTCCCATATATTCTCCAGGAGAGAGTGGAGACGGCTGGTAAGCAGAGGTCCTCCTGCTTTTTACACCTCGGCTGGGATTCCATCAGGTCCTGAGGCTTTGTTATTTTTCATCTGTTTGATGGAAGTAACTACCTCATCCAGGGATGGAGGATAGCTAAGGTGGGTCAGCTCTGGATGCCGAGGGATCTGCTGGGTAGTAAGGCCATCCACATCGGTGTTTTGGTTGAGCAGTAAATGGTAGTGCTCTTTCCATCGTCTTTAATTATGAAGTTACCGTCGGATGAGCGGAGGGGCTCGCACGGGTGGTTGGCCCATAAAATGTTTTAATGGAATTGAAAAATTCGAGCATCTTGTGCTGATCTGCATGCTTTTGTGTTTCACTTGCTTTACTTTTAAACCAGTCATTCTTTAGATTGTTAAGTTGCCGCTGGGCCGCAACTTTCTTCTCTGGAAGGTATCAGCTTTGGTCTGAGACTGAGGATTGTTCGGCCAGTCAGTAAAAGCAGCACGTTTATCATCGATGAGTACAATGATTGCCGGGTCATTTTCATCAAACCAGTCCTGGTGTATTCTTTTGATCTGGCCGAGGGTCTCTGCAGGTTTTTGTCATGACGGTGTCGAGAATATCCCATTCGGCACTGGGATTCGCGTTGTTTGCTGTTGGGTTGTTTATCAGCCCATGTTCAAGCTGCTCTCTGAAAGCATGTGCTACCGCTGGGTCCTCCAGATGCTTAGAGTTAAAACTTCTGGAGCTTGCTACCTTCGCCGTTTTGGGGCGACGTAGAGTGAGCTTGGCTCTGATAGGTCGATGATCAGTGTCATAGTGGTCTGGCCACCGAGCCAGGTGATGAGGACATCTCGGCGATCTCTTTCTCTGACAACGATGAAGTCGATGAGATGCGCGCGCGCACACACACCTGTATCTCTTTTAAAACAGAGAGAAGAGAGAGAGAGAGGTGGTTGTTGCTGTGGAAGAAGAAGAAGAAGAAGAAGAAGAAGAAGAAAAAGAAACGAAAAAGGAGATGAAGAAGAAACGAAAGAAGAAGAAACGAAAAAGGAGAAGAAACGAAAGAAGAAAGAAGAAAGAAGAAGAATGAACCAACACTATTATGCCTCTCCCACATTCTTATATTACACCATTCACTTTCAAGCCCCGTGTCAAGTATCATCTGCAGGTGTGTAAGGTGTAAGCTAGTCCCTTCCAACACTCCCACACCTGTATGGGCTATTCTCACACTAACACTCTGCCCTACACCTGTCCTGGACCATTACCTATCCTACACCTGTCCTGGACCACCCTACACCTGTTCTGGATCACCCTACACCTGTCCTGGACCACACCCTACACCTGTACTGGATCACCCTACACCTGTTCTGGATCACCTACACCTGTCCTGGACCACCCTACACCTGTTCTGGATCACCCTACACCTGTTCTGGATCACCCTACACCTGTTCTGGATCACCCTACACCTGTCCTGGACCACCCTACACCTGTTCTGTTCTCTCTCTCTCTCTCTCACCTCGCCTAGGAACAAGATGGTGGGTTGGGGGTCACACAGGTGTTTCTCGTCTACCATATCACAGGTATAAATTCTCAGGTAGGTCATTACTCATAGGGTCAATACACCGCTCCGCTCTGCAGGTGTCCAGGTGTGGTGTATAGTGACCTGGGTGGTGTATGGTGACCTGGGTGGTGTATGGTGACCTGGGTGATGTATGGTGACCTGGGTGGTGTATAGTGACCTGGGTGGTGTATAGTGACCTGGGTGGTGTATGTGGTGACCTGGGTGGTGTAGTGGTGACCTGGGTGGTGTATGGTGACCTGGGTGGTGTATGGGGACCTGGGTGGTGTATAGTGACCTGGGTGGTGTATGGTGACCTGGGTGGTGTATAGTGACCTGGGTGGTGTATGGTGACCTGGGTGATGTATGGTGACCTGGGTGGTGTATAGTGACCTGGGTGGTGTATAGTGACCTGGGTGGTGTATAGTGACCTGGGAGAGAGGAGAGAGAGGAGAGAGAGTCGAAATATATACGACTCGGTGTATCTAACAGGAACGTACAGCTGTATGTCCGTGGGTCAACCCGAAACATACGTACATTACCCATGCTTACTGGCCGCCCATCTCGCCCACACTCATATACGTAATGCCTCAGCCCCCTCTAGCATCCCCGCCCACGTACGACCCCCCTCACCTACGACCCGCCCACGTACGACCCCCACCTACGACCCCGTCCACACGTACGACCCGCCACACCTACGACCCGCCCACACGTACCGCCCACACGTACGACCCCGCCCACACGTACGACCCACACACACGACCCCCTACCCTCCCAAACACACACACGTCCTTCCTACTCGTTCATTACGTGAGACGGAACTAACTAGCAGAGGGGAGAGGATAGGGAGGAGAAGAGTGCCTCAGGTAGTAGGTCATGCCGCCCACCTGTCCACCCACACCACACCACCCACCATACACCACCATCACCATCCACTCACCATCCACTCACCATACACTCACCATACACCCACTTAGCCTTGAACAATGAGACAGAACCACAAGACATCTCAGCCAAGTTGACCTATGACCTTAAATGACGTCACCATACCTGACCTGACTTAGTTACCGAAAAATAGTTGACCTCCAGAAGACGAAATGTGGATGATGGATGAGTACCTGGTATAGGTTAGAGATGGATGATAATACCGAGGAATATCTAGCATGGATGATGGATGAGTAACCTGGTATAGTTAGAGATGGATGATAATACCGAGGAATATCTAGCATGGATGATGGATGAGTAACCTGGTATAGTTAAAAGATGGATGATAACACCACAGTACATCTGGTATATAAGTGGTAGGTATGAGTACATATCCAAAGTACAGTTGAGTACATATCCAGAGTACAGTATCTCCCTGGCGGTGGTACAGGAATGTAATTGGCCTCCAGAAGGGTGCGGGTTACAGCACGGGCGGACCTCAGGCTACAAAGACCCGTTCCTACCTCCTTCTGCCCTTCCCACCCCTCCTGCTGCCCCCCTTCCTCTGCTCCCCCTCTGCTCCCCTCCTACTACCTCTATTACTTCTCCAACTCTACCTCAGGTGCTGGTGAGCGTGTTAGCCAGGAGGATTGGTCGCCAGGAAGTATCTGGTTGATTACGTCATGACTCAGGAGGTGGTGAGCTGGCGAGAGTTATGGAGGTGAGGTGTTGTACAGGTGTTGCCAGATATCGACGTCTGTTTAACACACACACACTCTACTACTGTTGCTCCTGTTGTTGTTGTGTGTGTGTGTGTGTGTGTGTGTGTGTGTGTTGGTAATAGTTTCCTTGTTGATATGTTTGTTTGTTTTGTTCTTAGTTTTGTATTTGTTGTTAATTACTATCTATCTATTTATCTAATTTTGTCAGAGTGTATGAATGAGTGTCAGTGGCTATTATTAAAACTGCTACGACGTGAAGATTAGGCACCCTAACCTAACCTAACCTAACCTAACCTAACGAACAACATATAAAAATCGTAATGTTCTTCACCACCTGTAGTGTTGACCAGGGCGTTGCATATCTGACGGTGGTGATGCAGAAGAAAGAGTAGTAGTCTTGAATCGTCAGGAGGCCACTGTAGGGCGTTTATCTCCTGCAGTTTTTATTCCTGGAACAATATTACCTTCCCTGAAACACCTAAGGGCAAGAAACACAAAACACACTCTACCACCATAATCCCATACTAACCAAAGGGACTTACAACCTTGACTTAAAAACCCAAATGCATACCACACTATCTTATCCCTACTGAGCGGTCACTACGGCCACTAAGGTACGAAGGCATTATCGGTTGTAAGGTCTATAATTCGGAATACAAAGCGTAGATAAAAGGCCGTATATCACCAGGTGGCTACGTACTATTATACCCCTCCAAGGCTTTAATTATGACAGCACACGCCGCCGGGATCTTCTGCATTCCGAAGGGTTATTGAGGAGAAGCTGCTGTTACGGTATAGTCTTCCTTGCTAACCTCCTGCCAGTGGACTACGTTATAAAAAAGCACAAATCTCTACTGGATGCTGCAGATTTACGCAAAGGAGAGAGAAGGAAGGAAGGAAGGAAGGAAGGAGGAGAAATTGAATATAGAGGAGGGATGTAATGATTAGAAAGAAAAGAAACGAGAAAATGGAAAAGAAAAACCTGTGTAGGAGGAAAAGGATAAGAGGAGAGGAAATGCATAGGTAGCAAGGATGATGAAGTGAAGGAAGGAGGGAAGAGAGAGAGAGAGAGAGAGAGAGAGAGAGAGCAAGGAAAAAAATAAAACTAGAATTCATTAACATTTTGGGGGGAAAGAAACAACTTAATTATACAGGTACAAAGGTCAACAATAAACATTTCCCTTCCTTCTTTCCTTAACGTCTCTCTTTTAAGTTTCCCCAAACACCCAGAGAAGAATATAAACCAAAGGAAACAGTTAATGACCTCTTAACTAGGTTCAGCTGCACGAAAAAGACCTTTTAAAAGAAACTCGGTTAAGTTAGAGGTCACACAGAAAGAGCAGTATGTTAATAGGCTTGTTATAATGAGTTAAAACCTAGCCCCGGTGTACCTCAAGGGGTCCCACTAGCTCCACAAGCGTTCATATACACACAGAGATAGATAGATAATAGATAGATAGATAGATAGATAGATAGATAGATAGAATTCTGACATAAACTAACCAATAACGAGAATTTTATCTCTACGGGTGTTTGTGTAAGTTGAGAAATATGAAAGAAAATTGTAAAGACGGTAAAAATATGTTATAGTTATTGAGAAGAGAGGCCAGGGGTCGCATGGGTGACTGACTGACTCCATCTACCTACCTACCACCACCACTACCACCCCCCTCCTACCTGCCTGCCTGCCACCTACCTGCCTGCCTGCCTGCCTACCTGCCTGCCTGCCCACCACCCCACCTGCCTGCCTACCTACCTGCCTGCCTACCTCCTACCTGCCTACCTACCTGCCTGCCTGCCTACCTACCTGCCTGCCTACCTACCTACCTGCCTGCCTGCCTACCTCCACCCACCTACCTGCCTTACCTGCCTGCCTGCCTACCTGCCTTACCTGCCTGCCTGCCTGCCTGCCTACCTACCTGCCACCTGCCTGCCTGCCTACCTGCCTGCCTGCCTGCCTGCCTGCCTGCCCCACCCCAGCCCACGATACCTGCCCAGGGTAACTAACATGATTAGGTTTAAGGAAGTTTGGCAACGTGGCGACGGCACTTAATGCTAGTGGATCTGGCTCTTGTATGGCATAAACCCTTAAAACGTTACATAAACCCATTAAAACGTTACATAAACCCTTAAAACGTTACATAAACCCTAAAACGTCACAAAACCTTAAAACGTCGCATAAACCCTTAAAACGTCACAAAAACCCCTTAAAACGTAACATAAACCCCTTAATACGTCACGTAAACCCCTTAATACGTCACGTAAACCATAAAAACATCACAAACTTAAAACGTCACAAAAACCCTAAAACGTAACATAAACCCTTAATACGTCACGTAAACCCTAATACGTCACGTAAACCCTTAAAACGTCACATAAACCCCAAACGTCACAAAAACCCTTAAACGTAACATAAACCCTTAATACGTCGTAAACCCCTTATACGTCACGTAAACCCTTAAAACGTCACAAAAACCCCTAAAACGTAACATAAACCCCTTAATACGTCACGTAAACCCTTAAAACGTCACATAAACCCCTTAAAACGTCAAAACTCAAACGTAACATAACCCCTTAATACGTCACGTAAACCCTAAAACGTCACAAAACCCCTTAAAACGTCACATAAACCCCTTAAAACGTAACATAAACCCTTATGCATGCAAACCCTTAAACGTAACATAAACCCTTAAAACATCAAAAAACCTTAAAACATCACAAAAAAACCCTTAAAACGTCACAAAACCCTTAAAACGTTACATAAACTCTAAAAACTTCACAAAACCCTTAATACGTCACGTAAACCCTTAAAACATCACAAAACCCTAAACGTCACAAAAACCCTAAAACGTCACATAAACCCCTTAAAACGTCACATAAACCCTTAAAACGAAACAAAAAAACTTAAAACGTCACAATTCAATCTTTAATATAATCGTAAATTCAGTTTAGGTAATTATAATATCTTGTGATGCTTCCAATCTGGTCAGTCACCCCCACCCCTCCTCGGCCCCCACCTCAACACCCCCACCCTCCCCACCAGCCTAGGTGGGCCCTCGTAAGATCTTAATTCCGTCTAAGTACCGTCTTCCTGTCCACGGCTCCTGTTTATTAGTGTTGTCCTGACAGATGAGATGAGTGTCTGTCCGTCCCTCCTTATGGCCTAACTCTACCTCCTGCCTCTTCCCTCCCTCCCCTCCCTCCCCTCCATCTCAGCCCTTCTTCTTCCTCCCTCCCTCCTTCCCTCCTCTCCATCCTCCTCTCCCTCCCCTCCTTCCCTCCCTTCCTCCACTCCCGTTTCTCTTCCCATTCCTGACAAAGTTACTCTCAAGCCCACACACCTGACAGCCCACACACACACTCCTGACAGCCGCCCACACACACACTCCAGACAGACGCCGCCCACACCACCCACTACGCCACCATAACACAAGTAACTTAATATACAGTTAATAATAAAGTAAAAAATTAGTATCTTTATTATTAATAATAATATTATTATTATTATTATTGTTGTTGTTTGTTGTTGTTGTTGTTGTTGTTGTTGTTGTTGTTGTTGTTGTTGTTGTTGTTGGTGTTGGTGTTGGTGTTGGTGTTGGTGTTGCTGTTGTTGTTGTTGTTGTTGTTGTTGTTGTTGTTGTTGTTGTTGTTGTTGTTGTTGTTGTTGCTGTTGCTGTTGTTGTTGTTGTTGTTGTTGTTGTTGTTGTTGTTGTTGTTGCTATTGTTGTTGTTGTTGCTATTGTTGTTGTTGTTGTTGTTGTTGTTGTTGTTGTACACCTCACACGGTATATCAACAAACCGTCTCACTGTTTTAACCATTTAAATAAATTTTCCTTCTCCGGGTCAAAGGTCAGCCAACTTGTTTACCAGTTCTCTATATAATTAAGGGACACCAGGGTTATTAGGGCACGTGATATATAAAGGGCACGTAAGGGGCTATTAGGGGCACGTAAGGGGCTATGGGGGCACGTAAGGGGCTTTAGGGGCACGTAGGGCTATGGGGGCACGTGGGGCTATCAGGGAGCCCAGGTGTTGTTAGTGGGCAGGGAATCAAGGTCCTCAGGCTACGTCACTCCAAACTGTTGTTGTCAAGCTTA